GAAGGTCAGTCAGGATTTAGAAGAGGCTGTGGCACCAAGGACATCATTGCTGATGTCAGATGGATCCTGGCTGAAAGTATATATACCAGAAAAATGTCTATTTGTGCTAAAAAAATTTTAGAAGCATACATATCGGGGGAAAAGTGTTATGTGTTCTCGCTGGTGATAATACATGTGTATTATATAATTTTCTGTACTCTTCTGTATTCTAAATATTTCTCCACAGTATTAAAAAGAAACATAAAATTTTCATTAATAACCATTTGGTCAAGTTGAAATTCAAACTGCTGCTTAAAGGAATCTGAAAACACTAATTATATCTGTTGAAATTATCTGTATTGATTATGATTAAAACTTTGATGCTATTAGGAAATGAAGTTGTGCAAAATATGGTTGTTTCTTTGAAAAATATATAAAATGGGAGAGACTGGACAGCATTGTACTGAGTGAACTCAGTCTTACAAGGACAGGCCTGCATAAGACCATTATTGTAAAAATAGAAGGATAACTAGTAAGGTGTGTATGAAGGTCCAAAGGAGGAGAGGAAGAGAGGAGTGAAGATGAGCAGTGGGGAAATCACCAGGTCACACAATTTGGTCGATGGAGAACGGGTGAAGGAAATGGGAAAGATCGCGAGGGGATCTGAAAGGACGGGTAATAGTGGCCATAGACCAATGGTGATGAACTTTATAAAACACACTGTATGGCAGTGATCTTATGGGACACATGTGAATGAAGGAAGTATGAAAAGCATATGAATTTTGTATGCAAACCAATATAAAACAAAAGAATAAGAAAAAGAAGCAAGAAAAAAAATTGCTATTTTGTCAGTTGTTCCCACCAACCACTGGAATGAACCTATTGACCTTTTCAGTACCGTCTTTAAAATGTTTGATTTCATGGTTTCCTGAATTCACTTTAGTTTCCAGGACTATGATTTAGTGAAATAAAAATTATTATTCTTTTAGTTATTAATTTCATTATGAAAGAGGCAGATAAAATGTATAATTGCTTTTTTCTGTCTTTAGAAAAGAGTGAATAAGGAGGAAAAAAACCCCTCTTTATTCCACTGCTGATTGTTTTATTTAAGCCTCTTTATCAAGTGTAGCATGAATATATGTCACTTTTCCTGTGTTTAGTAAAGATTTCATATTAATGCTTCTCCCCCTTTTTAGAGATGTTTTTATGCTAAAATGAGATGAGACGGTATTGTGGAGAGTATAATTTGGTGGCCTGGTGGGTGGCGCTGCCACCCCAGTTCAAGTCCACCAGCTACTGGGGGAGAAGATGGTCAGTTTCTTTTCATGCAATGTTCAGCTTCTGAAAATGCACTGGGGTGTCAGCTGTGAATAAATTCCAACTTAATGGCATACAGCAACAACAATAACAACGACAATAGATGAACAATAGTTCAGTGGTTAAGGAGTTAAACTCCCCACCCAAAGGTGGTTGTACTGTTGAGTTGACAGTGATTCATATTGTCCTGAGGAACCTGAGCTAAATTCACTATCTCTGGCATGCGTGGCCCCATTGCCGTAGTCACTGTGTCTGTCCATCTTGTGGCAGTTCTTCCTCCCTTGTTCTGACCTTATACCTGTTCAAACATAATGCCCTTCTCCGACGTGGTTAGAATTCCCCAGCGGCCCTGTTCCAGAACAGTAGACTATCTCTCTTCTTTGTAGCCCTTGAAAATCTACTAGAGGGTCAGCTTTGAGTTGGTTCTGATTGGAAGGTAATGAGTTGTTTTATAGGTGTATTTGGTCTTGCTAATTATTGTTAACACATTTTGCTAACTGGAGACTTTGTATTCTCAATGCTTAAGGGACAGGAGGGAACACTGAAGGTAGTAGCTTTTGCTACTCTTACATACGGCGTCAAGTTAAACATCATAACTGTCATTTAGCCTCACATCTTCTATAAATTAGGGGCTAATAACTGCTACTTTAATATTTCTTATGGGAATGAAATTGAATTGCATATGTAAGCATCTGGCTGGATTATGGCTGATTCTCAGGAAATGGTTCTTTGTACTTTCAGCAAAGGAAATGGTTAAAAAGTACTTTAATTCAGAGTAAAAGATTGAAAATCGTATGCTATCAATTTAGGAGACACAGGTGATTTCTGAAGTTAAAAAGGTGAACTTTACTTTTAAGATTTCTTTCTTTCATAATATTTTTATTTTGAACATGTTATGGGGACTGTCAGAATCGACTCAGAGTTGACTCACCATGGAGCAGCTGGTAGATTTGAACTGCATGACTTTGGGTTGGCAGCTGAACTCCTTACCGTTAGGTGCCCAGAGGAGAAGAGACTGCCTGCGTATTTCTGCAGAGCTCCTTGTGGATTTGAACCACCAGAGACATGTAGCTTTTGAATTAGCAGTGCAGTTTGCTAAGGACTGCACCCCCAGAGATCTCTAATCCAGGTAAAGGCAAGCCAAATGATTGGTTAGGTTGTTTTACCTGTTTCCTGATGCAGCAGTAAGTTAATTATGTGGACACTCTTATACTTCTAGGTAGGATAATGGAGGCAAGAACCAGAGAAAGTAGATGTGGAAGGAAGTGGAGTCACAGACTGGCTGGCTATCTGATAACATGTTTCCTTTCTCTAAAGCCAGTAGCAAGGAGATGGTTATTTTTGTTTGTTTTGTCACAGCAAGGACAGATTCTATTTCACTTTGAAAAACCTAAATTTACAACAAAGGTCTTTGCTTTTATCTATATCTCTCTCATTGTTTTTTAAAAGAATTGATTTTGTTAAGTGTCCTCCAATCTGTACTCATTTAGTAAAATACCTTTATAGTCCTCTCAGGTCTAGGGTTATATAATTTCTAAATGCATTTGAAATAAAGAGTTAAAAACCCCAGAATATGTTCTGTCATAAAAGAAAGTTTTCAATATTCTGTATTTAAGTTAGAAAAAAATGACCTTTTAAGTTTAGTAAGATTATAACAATTACTGTTAAAAGTTAAATTGATCCTTTGTTAAGCAGAAAATGAAATTATTAAAATATCCAATAGACCCTTACTTTTGAGCAATTCAACTTTCTCTAATGTCTCTTTGTTTAAAATGTATCTTGTTTCTGTAACTTTCATAAAAGATTATCTGAAACTTTTCTCAGTTAGTAGGTTTTCTTTTCACCCTACTTGAAAAAGTTTTTGATGCACATGGCTATATCTGAAACTTCTGATGTTGTCTTGCTTCTTGATGAAAAAGATAAGTTTTTTTCTATATTGAACAGAAAATTGAGGTAGAGATTGGAAGAAAGCATATTTAGATAATTTTCTGCTGACGAAACAACACTGGCTTTCAGTAGAATTTATGCCTCAGTTCAAACACTTGTTCAATACAGCTTTATTTTAAACTGAGCACCATGAGAGTGTTCACTGTGGTCTAAATGAGATTCTTTATGTATGTCTCTTGTATTTTGTCTAAAGACACATGTATCATTTAATATTAGAATAATATTAAGCACCATGATGGATGGAGAAGAGATTGAGGTTGTTAACAATTACTACAACTTATTCTGCTCCATAATCTACACTCTTGGCACCAGCAGTTAGGAAATCAGAAGACTAATTGCATTGGAAAAAGCTGATGTCAGGGACCTCTCTAGAGTACTAAAAAGCAATGATGTCAGTCTAGAGACTAAGGTGCACATAACCCAGGCCATGTTCTTCACCGTTACTTGCTATGCATCAGAGACTGGACAACGACTAAAGATGACAGAAGATGAATTGTGGTGCGGGAGAAGAGTCTTTAACATACCATGGAATGCCAGGAAAACAAAGTGACTTGGAGAGGGTAAAACCAGCTTTCTCCTAGGAGGCTAGGATTTTGAAGCTCTATCTCACATATTTTGGGCATGTAGCCAGGAGGGACTGATCCTTGGAGAAGGACATCATGCTCAGAAGGGTGGAGGGACAGCACAGGAGAGGAAGAGCCCAGATGAGATGGATTGATACAGTAATTGAGAAAATGGGGTTAGGTGTGTCGGAATCAGTGTGATTGACACAGGACAGTGCAGACTTCAGAGCTACTGTACAGAGGGTTGCTGTGAGTTGCAGGTGATGCAACAACACTTAACAACAACAATTAATATTAAAGACACCTGTGAGCTCAAGCTTTAATGAATATCTGGTAATGGGTTTTTGCATCATTTAAAAAATATTTTAAAATTTTTTATTGTGTTTTGAGTAAAAACTTTTAGATTCATTTTCTATTTAGTCCTTCATACAGATTTTGTTTTATGACTTTGGAAACAGTCCCCATATTGAAACCACTCTCTGCCAACATCTTACTGGTGATTCTCCTTTCCCTTCACCCTATTCTAGCCTGTTACTTCTTGCTTCTAAGTTGTTTCCCTGGGTATACACATATCCTTTATATCTTGCCTGATTGATTGTTCTAAGGTGGGAGTGTGTCTCATGTTTGCTTTTGACTGAAAGTTGAACCACAGAGGTAACCCTTTAGAGTAGTGAGAGAAGATCTTCACCCTGAAACCCACAGCGTCCCTTGTCAGCAGGAAGTAGCTAAGAGAATACGCCATCCCCTTTTCCTTATGACTCAGGGTGAAGTCTCTCTCAGGGAGGAGTGATAGGGAAT